AAAAAAAAGGTTGTAGTCTTAACTTGTTTTGTACGTAGTGTATGAATTTATGAAACGATGGAATGACCTGAGTCATTTCTAGCAATGTAGCCTATTACAATAAATGGGCACTTGAAAGTTTTTTTTTTCTTGCAAATCATTCTTTGCAAAATATTTTTGTTCAAAAGACTTTTCGCTGAATAAGTAGTTCTCCGTCTTAATATGGATTGTATATACTTTTTACATTATATTCAACGGGTTTTGTAAACTTTCCCCTCGTATTAAAACAAAAAAAACTTTCCAAAATGTGAAGTGAAGAAAAAAATTGTCGCGTTGTTCAAGGTGACGCGAGGTTTCGTCAACATTCCACCATGGGGAAAGAGTAAATGGGCAATAGACCAATAATAGCGCGCGCTTTTCATTTGTCTTCTAAAATAGCTAAATGAACAGAGAATTATTTTTTTTAAGAATTAATGTGAAAAACCATATGCTTGATCTGAATTGAAATTATAATATAATTCTTCCATCATGGGTTTGGAAGAAATGGCTTGAAACATGGCAAAATTCTAGACCATCTGGCATCCGAGTGTGTTTTCGTTTTAACGTAATTTTTATGACCATTCCTTGTAAATCTAATCACTTCCATCATATGGCGCCGATCAGGTGCTCTTTCAAATAAGCCACCCAGCCCAAGAGAGATTAGTCATACCACCGTGGTCTACGTCCCCTACTATTTTCGAAGAGTGGTGTTGGTGTTTTTTACTTCCCACAAAAAACATATAACTGTAAGTGCTGTGAGACGGGACCTACGGTTTTTCATCACTATCTGAGAAGACTAGAAAGTCTAACCGTTTGCAGATGTCATTACAAGATGGCACTTTAATTCTCATCAGTTATTTAAAGACCCTGAGTGTTTGGCCGGCCGGGGTTTGAACCCGCGACCTTCCGCTCAGCAGAGCGGTGCTCTTCCAACTGAGCTCATCAGGTGGCGGTTATAGTGAAACATAAACACAAAAATTCTCAGTTAAAATACCTTATCTTACCCCCATGGTGTATCACTAGCCAAAATCGCCTTGAATCGGGAAAGTAAGGGCACTGGATAGCAAGCAATACATGAAAGTAAGGTATAAAAATTTTTATTTGAGAATTTTATTGTCATTTTGTTTTCTAAAGCATATCGTAAATATCCCATACAAACTCTTATACTTTCGCCATGAACGCTATTTCGCAATATTATCTCTAATGACTCACAGCTTGAGTTGGGCCGCCTGTGATCCATTCAACAAATTGAAGGCACTTCTTTACCTGCCTGTTCTCTTATCGATGATGAAATTACCCGACAGCATTGTCAAAAAGATTTTAATCCACAGGAGAACCGCAGGTGAGTGGATTCACAGGTGGACGTTAGCGGGAGTTGATACGCGCTTACGCAAACGGGCTCTCTGTCACAAACTTGATGCAGAGTGAAATTTGAGAGCTCGATCTGCGGTTTGGCTTGCGCCACCTAAGCTTGAGGTAGATTTAACCCACTGACGCCCGAGACTTTTTACGTTTTTGAGTTATTTTCTACATACAAATAATCCATAGGATTTTGTGACTCCACGTTTCGGGTTACGATGGAAAGTGGTGCTATTCAAAACCCATTGAATCCTCGAGTTTTCTGGCAACGTCATTCTGACGTAGTCATTTAATTTCGTTGAGCTATAATAACAACTGAAGTTTGGTTTGTATGCGATTTTTAAGAAAGTTTACAGCCACTTTTCATCTTTAGTGGCTGCCTTATGAGCATCATTAACCGTGACGGTAGCTAAGAGCCCACTTTCTCAAAGAAGCGAGTAAGGTGATGTACTTTGCTTGCCTTGGCTTGTTGCTCGTGGAACTGGAAAAAATGACCCCTCCGAAACGAAGTACCTCTGGGACTCGGCTACTCAGGGGGGATGAATTTCTTGATCTACCACAGCATATTTTGGCATTTGCGACAACTGAAAATCAATAATCGCGAAAATTTCGGTGTAGGTCGGAGTGGCCCTGAACAAAAAAGTGGAGGAAGAAACGAACGCTGTCAGAAAATCTGGGTATTTCCCAGCATGCAATGCAGTCGTAATGTTGAAAATCGAGGCAAGGCCAGGATTTACTAGAACCAAAAGGCTGTAGAAACGGGAAACGAATAGGAACGAGGACTGAATTTTACTGTGAAATTTGTCTTGTAAACTTGCTGTGAAAAGGGAGGTTCTGGTAGGCTTGTACGATCCATTAAAATGCACGGGCTTCTATCGGGTGGGTTGTTAATTACTTTGGTTGCTTGTTTTACAATTGGAAGTCGTGTAGCTGGTCTGCCTTTTGTATACTGATTTCATCCCTGTGTTTTTCTGTTCTGATAAAGGTTCAATAACCGCTGGTCCAAGAGTAAAGAAGTGTGACGTCACAAAAATCCTAATTTGTGACATGATTGGGATTGTTTGGTATATTCAGAAAGAGCAAGATAAAAAACGCCACCCAATTTTCATTAATAGGTTCATTTTTAGCAAAACGATCACATATAATTTGCTCCACCAAAGATACAAGCTCCCTTCAGCTATTTCCGAAAAAAACCCTCTTGATTTCGAGAAATACAAAAGTAAGATAAAACCATAATGGCGTCGTTACGTTTGCATGTTTAAGTACGGTATTGTATATTTTCGCCATGCGATTGGTCAGTTTGCGGTCCGTAACTTGGTATACGGACCAAAATTTCAAAAGCAAATGTTCATATATTTCAGCTCGAAATCTCTTTATCTCGCGAAAAAGAGGTCTAAAGAAAGTTATAAGACGTCTGTCAACCTTGAGGACTTGGATGTTGACTTCGTTCTTCAACATTTTAAGCTGTGTTATGTGTTAACGAAGCCAATGGAGAAACTGAATCGTAATCATATCGAAGAAGAGGATTCCAGTGAGTTACTTGAAATTTTATCGCAGTACACTGACAGTTTAAAGAAGAAAAAGAGCGATTCCTTCGACAAATACGATAAGAAACATACCTGCACCTAATCACCTTGACAAGATTCCTTGCCATTTGCAGTGTTAACGAATGAATGATGGAAGCGAACTTGAGCCAGTCACATTGCCCAGTTTTCAAAAGACTCCAGCGACACATTGGCGAGCGAATACTTACAGTGCTCTTAGTCTTGACCAAATCAACTTTTTCAATGAATTTCGAAAATGTGTTATTGTTTCCGTGAGCCAATTAAATCTTTTATATTCTGACGCCTGTCAAATGACTTTCAAATCGCTTGTCCTGCACTTGTTTCCGGTCCCCCAAACTGGAAGCCATATAGTAAACATCTTATTTGCCTCGTTGTTTTTCGGTCCGTACTGTAAATTACGGATCCTGGGTTTTTTCGATCGATATATGACCCTCTCGCGCATAAATCGATGGAAAAAAGCTTGGTACGTAATTTGCAGCAAGGATCGAAAACTCGGCTTATAAGAAAACAAATTTAACATTGTGATTTGTAAATTTGCATGGTCTGCCCATCGCGTAGAATGCCTATTGTTCTCGTGCCATTCACTTACAGTTCAATAAAGTTCGAAGGTCTCAAGTCACAAGCGGTACTTTCAATCTGTGTTTCACCTTGTTTTTCTTTGTTTTTCACTTATACACAGCTTCTCGTCGACGTTACGCAAGGCCTTGAGTTGATAAAGGCAGTTTAATAGTGCAAACAAGCAACGACAACTGTTTTGAAGATTTGTTTTAGTGTAGTCTTCCGGATTACTATCACCTTTATTTGTTATTCTTTGTTTTTTGTTTTGTTTTTTTCGTTCGTGATCAGCTCCTGCTCAACTGTTTCAGAGGCCTTTGAAAGAATGAAACCTTACAGTGTGAATTTTAAGGGATCCTGATGTTAAAGGAGTCTTGATAAATTCTGGCTAAGGTACCGGTTGCCTGACGGGGGTAGTTGTTGGTGTATTTATTATAGTTGTTGGTGCATTTACTGAGCACAATATTATTGAGTAAGTTTCCATTCGATACAGGTGCGATGACCTTGTGCAAGACTGCCAAACTGATAAAGTCATTTTTGGAAAATATTTGCAATTTCACAGCTTGTGTAAAACTATTTCTGATCCATCTAAGCCACACGAGAGCTCTTAGGTGTGAAAATAATGTTAAGCTAGAGCTTCCATTTTATTGAAGTTCAAATCATTTCTTTGGCGGTGCAATTCCCTAGTAGTCTCAGGCCATAACCTATTAATGACCACTTCCTGCAGCAAAGTAGTTTTGGCCTATCAAATGTGTTGTTATTTCCTAAGACACTCGTCAATAGTACAAATGATTTAAACTGACGCCGCAAAAGGCTTTTAGTATCTAAGATACGGGCTACAGAAATATAACAGTTCTGAGCTAAGCAGTAGGCTCTTGTACATTGTGATCTGCATTTCACAGTTGTTCCAGTTAACTACCGTCGTTAAAGTGTATGTTTTCTCCTCGGCTAAAAACATTTACTGGCATCGAAATGAACTTAATTAGTCTTAGTTGTTGTTTTCATTTTGGCATTCCCATGATCTACGATCTTAACTTTTTTTCGGTTTTTCTTTATCTCTCATGATCAGCTGTGGTACCGGAGCCGAGTGCATTCCTCCAGAGGACATTGAGAATGTTTAGATACAGCAATAGTACAGGTAACCCAGGGAAGAAAGGGAACAAGGGTTAATGATCGAATAAAAGTGCTTCTTTCTAAAATTTAAAACGTGTCTTTCAAGATAGGACGTCTTAATAAAATCGGCTGTCTTTCAGAGCCAAAATTTGGAAATTCTATACTTTATTTTCTTTATCAAATAAAAGACATGTCAGAACAGCCTAGGTACCAAAAACATGTCAAATAACAAATTAAATCAGATGCCTCAGAAAAAATCCATAGACAGCTTTCCTTTAAACTCATGAAAGACAGCAGCTGGTAACGTCTCCGGTGCCATTTACCATTTGGCCAAAAAAAAACGTTACCTAGTATAAAAACACCAAGAAACACGGCTTTTTCTTGCCCGTTTTCTTTGGACAACGGATTCCTTGTTATTGCATCAAAACTTCATTAATCTTGGAAATGCAGCAGTTACTGAAACTCGTTTTTGTTCTCTTGTTGTGCGTGTCTGGGTCGCGGCCCTTTCAGGTAATTTGAAATAATTTTCATTGCATGGGACTTTGACAGTGCAAAATGTGTCGATCTGCTTGTTAAGGCAATAACAGTCATTTGAAATGTTTCTTACTATTTTAGTTTTCGTGTTATCTGAAGTTTGCATATCAAGCTTAAAACTAAAAACTTTGACTGATGTTCAAGGCCTTGTGGCGTAATCATGTTCAAATTCAGTATTTGTCCATCCATAAAACCCGTTAAAGAAATTATATTTTCCTTTTGTTTTTGTTTTTGCAGCCCACAGAAGAGCATAAGTACTGTTCCCGGCCAGGCGATTGCGCTGCTCAAGTTGAGTGCTGTGTTAAATCACGTGAAAGACCTGGTGTACGTTATTGCTCAACTATGCTCGAACTCGATGATGTTTGCACCCCTGTGTTAATAGTGAGTATAACAACTACAGTGTTTCAGGAAACTGTGTGAAGAAGTGACGAAAATGCGTTGGTCTTATTTTGGTCACAACTTTGCTGTACGGCATATCTAGACGGATTTTTGACCTCTTCCACGTGTCATACAGTGTTTTGGGGCCATAAACTGTCTTCAAAGCAACCAATATAAAAACTTAGAGTGCAACCATTACTTTTTTCATTCTTTCTTTTCCAACTCGCTCTTTTTTCTCCTTTCCTTGTCTTTTTGCTGGTGAGATTTTCGAGCGAGACCGCGAGCAGTCTTTTTCTTCTCTGCGAGTTACGTGGCTCTCACGAAAGAAAGGCCACCGCTCGCGGTCAATATTGCCACTTATCGCTGAGTTCGTTTTCGAAAAAACGGAGTAAAACTAAAAGGAATATCTGCAAGCAAACAACAACAACAAGAAACAGGATACAACAAAACAGAACACGCACCGGGAAACAGGAAAATATTAGTTGGAGCCGGGAAATGTTATGCGCATGTCAGGCGCTGTAAAATTGTCACGTGATGATTTACTGTGAAACTCACAAAAGCATGAACACCAAAAATATTTGTGGAATGTTATTGTGTTGCGAGAAATTAGCCAATAAGGCGTGAGATATCTAAACCGCAAACAGTAACAGTAATTAGTTGGTGGTTTTGAGGTTTGCTTGCGTATCCTGAACTTTACTGCAATTGGCCAGTACACAATCAACTTTCCTGAAATTTTTCAAGGGTTCACATTTTTCTGAGTTTGACAGTAAAATCTTCAGTCGTGTCTAGCTAATGAAGATGTTTGAGATGAAAATATTTCTGTTAAAACTATTCTAAAATTGGCTTTCCACCTTTTTAGCCTGGCCTGGACTTTTCCTGTCCTTGCACCCCAGGACTGACATGCGCAAAGACGGACGATGACGACAAAGAAAATTCTCAGTACAAATGTATCCCTGTTCCTATAATCGAGGACGAAAGAGACTGACGATAAAGTGTTGCATTTTTTTTTCTTTCTGTAAGGCGGCAAATAAAAATGTAATAGAGTCACTGAAATGTGAATTTGCAGTTGATTTAAAGTGGAATCCTTGCTTAATGTTTTGATAAAGAATTTTAAACATAGTGAATTTAAGTCTGTGGTTTAAGAATAAATAGGGTATTAACAGAAATTAGCATATAATAATATCGTTTTTGCTTTTTGTTGTTGCATGCTTTTAAACAAAATTTGGGATTTTAATCCTCATTATTCATTTCAAAATACTTTTGATATTTAATTGATCATAGTAGTCACTTTTGGGTGGTTTTGGAGTCGAGATTTAGAAAGCTTCAAGTATGAAGCGCACACAATGAAGAAGGTGACGTAAGACTCGCGGAGGGGGATACTCCCATAAATTTGGATTGCTGTACAATGCGAACGGTCTTACTGTCAAGCCAGGTCAAGCGTACCCGCCAAAATGCCATTAATAAATTTATTATTCGAAAGTTGAGTCCGTTGGCAGTTGTAGATTTCAGATTCATCTCTACATTCTTGCATGTGTTATGAGCCGTGAATTCACACGCGATTCAGTTACGAAATTTCTACCAGCTCAGTTTCCCTGAATTTGATGTAAATGTCTTCTAGGAATTTTAATTCATTCAAAGATTTTCAATCTGACCAAATACAGACAAGTTCTCGTAAATTATCCACTGCTCATTACGCATGCAGTAATTCCGATTTGAATTGGACACCAGTTACGGGAACGACTAACGGATTCATTTTTCAAATAATCAATTCATTAATATAATCTTGGGGGGTACGCTTGACCTGTTTTGACTGTAAACCCTGATCCCATTCAAAAGGGCTATGTCACGACAGTCTAGTTCATTTTGTTTAATTTTGCCAATTACTCGCCTTCAACCGCTATGGAACTTAAAGTAAGAAAAGAAATTACATGTAAATGACAAAATCAGAGATCCGAGACAAACAAATATGTCTCCTGAGCATATTTTTGAAGTTGCAAGCAGCAGGGATTCAACGTTGAAAAACTGATTGGCTGAAGAGTTTTCAAAAACCCTAATTTCAATCCGTTTTAATCTTCATCAGTTTTGCCCATCCGTGGCATCTGTTGTTTCTGTTATTTTATTTTAACCGTCCTTTAAAGTCTTAAGTGGCTATTTTTATGTTTCTCTTAATTTAACGGGCATTTTGTAATTNATGTAAATGTCTTCTAGGAATTTTAATTCATTCAAAGATTTTCAATCTGACCAAATACAGACAAGTTCTCGTAAATTATCCACTGCTCATTACGCATGCAGTAATTCCGATTTGAATTGGACACCAGTTACGGGAACGACTAACGGATTCATTTTTCAAATAATCAATTCATTAATATAATCTTGGGGGGTACGCTTGACCTGTTTTGACTGTAAACCCTGATCCCATTCAAAAGGGCTATGTCACGACAGTCTAGTTCATTTTGTTTAATTTTGCCAATTACTCGCCTTCAACCGCTATGGAACTTAAAGTAAGAAAAGAAATTACATGTAAATGACAAAATCAGAGATCCGAGACAAACAAATATGTCTCCTGAGCATATTTTTGAAGTTGCAAGCAGCAGGGATTCAACGTTGAAAAACTGATTGGCTGAAGAGTTTTCAAAAACCCTAATTTCAATCCGTTTTAATCTTCATCAGTTTTGCCCATCCGTGGCATCTGTTGTTTCTGTTATTTTATTTTAACCGTCCTTTAAAGTCTTAAGTGGCTATTTTTATGTTTCTCTTAATTTAACGGGCATTTTGTAATTTCCTAATTTTGCTGAATTTCGTGACACAGCTCCTTTAAGGATGACACAAACGAAAATTACACCCTATTTATGACCCCCTGCGGTCACAATCGCGCATTACGGTCACGTGCAAAAACCACGTGAAATAACCAAAGCGTCATCTCGGTGCCTGTTCAAATGATTCGAGCATTCCGAATGAGGTGGGAACCGCTTTATTGCGCTATAAATGTAGTGGTGCAAGTTACCTGCACACGTAGAGTTTGTTTTAATCACGAATCCAAAAATGTCTACGAAACGTCAGTGACTGTGGGATTTGCTTTGAGAAGACGGATACAGTGAATAGCTTCAACAGGCGGAGCACGTGGCAAAGTATACAAAGTCTCCTTCATCCGTCTCAAATGCTGTTAAATGTGAGTATGATATTGATTCTTCCTTATTTCAAAATGATGTGTTATTAAATATTTTATGCATATGCACTATGATAACGAAGGTTTAAATACATGGACACTCAAAGTGTACTGATATTTGTAGTTCAGGTCGAGTACACTGTCGGTCGATCAGTTTAGTGTTACTTTTGGGATAATTACCTTGTTGTTAAAGAAAGGTTTGAGTGTTCAAATACACTTAAAATCATGAACGAGCGTTTTAAACTTCAATAAATACTTTATTTTCATTTCATCAACCATGTTATGTAAAGCGTTTGCAGCTATTAGCTTCTTATTATCTTAAATGCGAATTTTTTAAACGACAAAATATGCCAAATCTCAACGTGCAATCAGACTCTATTCGTGGGAAAGTATTTTCATAATCTTCGCACCCTGTTATGTTAATTTTCGCGCCACATCTCTTTAAATGCTGTAATTTGCATGATCAAAAACATTTTCCTTGATAATGGAGTCATGACTACTCCGAAACGTCGGGTTTTATCGTTCGTTTTTACCGTTTTATGTCTTAAGAAATCTCTTTTAATACGAATATGAATTAAGAAATATATGCTATAATAACAACAACAACAATAATAATAATAACAAGAGATAATAAACCAAAGGAAGATAAAGAAGATAAAGCTGCTCATGGTTTTGCAGTTGCGACCGTCTCAGGTGGCTCTTCTTCCCATCCTTCCGTTTCTTGATAAGTACCTACACTAATGCACTGAAAAATGCGCCTTTTCTTGCCGTGATCGCTCCCAGTTACAGCGCAAGTGAGACCTGGGCTGCATGGACAAGTCGCTGATAATCCATTCTGAAATTTATAAACAAAAGACCTATCTGAGGAAACAGTAAAGCATAATTTTGGCAAAAATAATGCATGCAATTACCTCATTGAATTAATAAAGCAAAAATACATCGCGGACAATAATATAAAGTAGTTAGAATAATTAGTTGCCCAAGAGCTAAAATTCGAAATAGGTACTGGGCTTTAGATACGGACCGTCCAAAAATTAAAGCCATTTGACAGAATAGAGTGTTTTCACATGACGTCACGGCGGCCATGTTGGTGTCCCAAACCAATCCTCTGAGAGTTGAACTCTTTTCTTATGCAAACGCTTTCTTTTGTTCTAATAAATTTGCATAGATGCTGGCCACGTGAGTGAAAACACTATAGAGGCCAAAAAGGTGCGTCTCAATAACCCAAAGGAAATCATATCAGTTCGGGGTGCCACGCGCTCTCGCGCGCCCAAATTCCCCCTTCCCCTTCCCCTTTTAACCCCTGCCACGCAGGCTAGAATCAGCGCAACCAGCGATCATAGTTTTGGCATGTCACCTAGGCTGACAAATATTCCTATAAACCGTATTACATTTGAATGCTGCAAGGTAGACATTATTTTAAACAGCATAATCTAAACGTATTTTAATGAGTAAAACTTAGACACGTGCGTTTATTTTTCAAGTTGTTCCCAAGCTACATTATACATACCAGTGCATAGGGATAACATCTCTCTTTGTACAAGAGCATTTTCTTGCAGAATCCAATATGATTTCCAGGAGTCATCCGACAGCATTCGCCTCTATTGCAGTCCATTTGACTCTTACATCTGGTGAATCGAAAGTCCTAAATATGATAAAACATGGATAGCATATGCTGTTTTTGTCTTCAAGTGGGGCAAAGCAAGACGAGATTTTGTTTCTTGTTCTTTTTTTCTAATTCACCATTTCAGTGACCGAGACCATACATAGTGCACCTTGTTCCCTAAAACTTTTACATATTAACCATTGTTTTCAATTCTCCTGGGAATTACGGTCTTCCCTAAAGGAATCGAAGATAATGGTTATACAAACTTTTGGGGGTAAATAAGGTGCCTTATGGTCTCTGTGAAAATGGTGAATTCCTAATTCCAAAAATATCCATATCTTCCCTCCACAGGAGGGCAACGGAAATTCCGAAGGGGGAGGCCGGGGTCCGGAGGGAGCATATTCTTTCGCATAATAGTATAGAGTAACAGCATTTTTTGACGGAAATATTTTTCCCACAGGGGGAAACCAACCATGTTGGAAAGTGACGGGAATTCTAGAGGGTGGGGATGGGAGGGGGGGGGGGCGGGGGTCTAAAGCAAAAATGCCCACCGTGGAGGGAATGGATATTTCTTGGAACCACACAATGCAAGCCGCAAGTCGCTTGAACATGTAGCTAATCTTTGTAAAGGTCTATTCGAGCTATTCTCGACTGTGTTGCGCGAAAGCTTTGGAATATCAAAAGATATACAATAAAAGGCATTTCTCTAACTTTTTTTGTCGCGACACAAACTTCAGAACAAGTTATCACCAAGAAAAATAATATGAGTTTGTTTTCGAGGGTCACCTGAGCTTTAGTCCCAGACTGTGAGCTCTCTTGTGCCATGTGCGGTAGACAAAATGGCGAGCGTTGAGGATTCGCAAAAAGAGGTAAGTTCTTTTCAAGACGCTTTGATTCCTTGACAAGAAAGCACTCTGTCTAACTTAGTCAAACTCCGATTTCAATCAAACACAGATGTCTGAACTACAATTTTCAAAAAAAAAATCCGATTTTCGAAACTGACTCCAAGTTTCAAGCAAAAAACAACTTGGATTCATAATTATTAAATAACAAACTCCGATTTCAATCAAACACAGATGGCAAACTCTAATTTTCGAAAACAAACTCCTCTTTTAGAAACTGTCTCCAATTGTCAAGAAAAAGCCAGCTTGGATTTTTATATAACAAACTTCGATTTCAATCAAACACAGATGTCAGAATTCCAATCATTCGACAACAAACTCCAATTTTCAAACACCGATTTTCGAAAACAAACTCCAAACTTGGATTCTAAAAATAGAAAACCCCGATTTCTGTCAAACACAGATGACCCTTAAAAGCTTCCACTATGACGGAATTACTAAGAAAAAACGAATTAGCAAAATTAATAAATAAAAAAAGTCAGGCGTGTTGTGATAGTGATAGTCATAAATGATCACCAAATGTTTTTAGGGACGCTTACTAATTTTTTTATCCATTCACAAATTTATTTTTTATGGTAACTGCGATAGAAACTCACTGTAACTTACGTCTGTCCTTGGAGTGGAATCTCCATGGCGATGAAATCGAGATGTCTTGTCCTTCCTCGACTCAGCAAACCTCTGATAAAAAGGAAAAAAATATATATGAAACTGTTCAGTCCAAAAAGTCTTCGCCGGTTCACAGTTATAATTCAACAACGTTGAGGTGTTAAACGTAACGTATTTCCAACCTTTTCAAGCCCCATCCAAGTGGCTATGATTATTAACAAACCCACGATTAGCACAGACACGGAATGCAATTTCATGTCTACGGTTGCAGGTATTCGTTGTAGGTGTCCGTAGCTCGTTGATGTGATACTCACTGATGTATGCACACGAAAAGCCTAGTATAATGGGTGCCGTGTTTCAGGATCACTTGGTTTGCTGAATGATCGATCGATCTACTACTATTCATCAGCTATTCTGTACACATCTTATAGTCGTGGCGTCAGCTGGGAGGTTTTGGCAAAAGAAATTTCGTTCTGGTGTTCGTTCGTATATCATGTTCTTTAGTAGCTGGAGTGGATTCTATGCATTTTGATAAAATAAGCTGCAAAAATGCAAATATTTGTAATTCCACAGCTTTTAAAGCGGAAAAGAAAAGCTCATTACAGTTTTAAAGCCTTGCGGGGAGGGGGGGGGGGGGCTTTTCCTTTCTTCAGTTTAACTTAGTCCATTTTAACATTCAAACAAAGAAAGACTATGACCAAATTTCTTTGGATGATAGTAAATGAAAAGATAAAAATTAATTCAAAAAAAGTTTAAAAATTTAAAATAAATTTATAGAGAAAATTAAATTTTTAAAAAAAGGACAAACTATGTGTTTTTTGTTTTTTTTCTTTTGTGTTTTGTGGGTGAGGTTATTTATTATTATAAAAAAAAAAAAAAAAAAAAAAATAAAATTTTTTAATACAAATATTTTTAAAAAAAAAAAAGAAAGATCTTATCTGTTTTCAGGGTGGGGGGGGGGGGGGGGGAGGGGGGTCTTTCCTTTCTTCAGTGTAACTTAGTCCATTTTAACATTCAAACAAAGAAAGACTATGACCAAATTTCTTTGGATGATAGTAAATGAATAGATAAAAATTAATTCAAACAAATGTTAAAAAATTAAAATGAATTTATAGAGCGAATTCAATTTTTGAAGCAAGGACCAACTTACAAAGAAGAAGTACCGGATCCTAATAAAAGATCTAATCAGCAATATGTGAAAATATGAAAGAAAAGAAGCAAGGCTGATTTTACAGTCGGGAATATATATATATTTTTACCAATATTTCGGAAGGCACGGCCTTCCTTCTTTAGGGTCTTACATATAATGAAGAGCGCCATATTCCAGGGTCTCAGTAATACCAGACTACTGAGAGCCTTGTAAGTCAGTAGCAATATTTTAAAAATCGATCTGAAGCGCACAGAGAGCCAATGTAAACGCCTTGGTATCGGTGTAATGTTCCCCCCTCCACCCATCCCACAGGGGCAGGAGAAGGCAGCAATGAAGGAGTGACAAGGCGAACTGTAGAATTCTCTTCTAGTTGAAGTCTATTTATCAGATTTATCAGATATATAAGGAGACCATCGCAGTAAGACATTAAAATACTCTAAATGCGAGGTTATGTAGGCGTGAACGGTAGTCTTGGCAGGGTTCTGGGATAAATATTGCCTAATTTTAGCTATAATTTAAAGGCACGAAAACATGTTCTGGCACGTCGTCTTAACGTGCTTACTAAGATTAAAATGCTCATGGAATCCAAATTCTAGATTCCTGGCAAGTTGAATTGGAATGGTAACATCGTTTCCGATTTAGATGTCATTCGGGGGAGGTCGTGAACCGATATCTTTAACTGGTTGCCAATATCCTGAACACGTTGCTCAACTAGTGGCTTTTTGGAGCCAATTATATGATTAGGACAGTTAAAAGTAAACGGAAGATACAGCTGTGTATCATCTGCATAAAGATGAAATGGTATGTAATGCTTTCCAGGATATCACCCTGCCCAGTGGGCTTATGTGAAGCGAATACAATAATACAATACGGATCCTATGGTGCTCCGTTTTGCAGATACTTCAGTGACGATTCAGTACCATTAACAAAAAAACTGAAGATATGAACGAAACCAATAAAGAACACTGTCCCTTACGCCAAAATGATTTACCAATCTAGGCGATAAAAAAGAGTAAAATCGACAGTGTCTAATGCAGCCAATACATCAAGTAATAATCTAATAACAGATTTTAAGTCATCGCCAGTTTTCAACATGTCATTATGGACCCTAAGTGCAGTTTTAGTGTTATTATGACATTTATAGGCTGATTAAAATTCCTCGAGTAAACCCTCGTTCGCATTTCGCTCATGCCCCCTGGGCATCCCATAATACTCCTTTAACTCTAATTAATTCAATATGGCCGCCGTAAAGGTAAAAAGGTCCACTGGATAAAGTGCGAAGGACCTCTTTGCACAGTTTGTACATATACCCAGCGTCAATTTACTAAGCAGCTGACGATTATACATCAGTAGTAATAATGATAATGGGTAAATGCAAAAGAGGCAGGGTAGATGCTATAGGGATTTTTTTTTTCTGGCGTTCCGTTAACGTACTATTCTAAAATTAACCCCCCCCCCTCCCCCCCAATTCCAATTCCTCTCCGTTCCTAGGCCAATTTTACACTTTTCTTCCTTCCGTTTGAATTGATTTTCTTGAAGTTTACACATTTTTTATCTTTCACATTCCATATGCAACGACCGTTAGGGTTTTTCAATGTTTCCTCTACTTTCACTCTTTTAACTTACCCTTGGGCTAATTGTTTGGGTTTTAAGCTTCCTTCTCTCTTTGCTGCCTTTCAGCAAATTTTCCTCGCCGAACGACAGGAGGGGAAACCAGTGGTGGCTCGTGAGATGTATAAATTGGGACCTAAATTAAGTTACGACGACGACAGTGAAAGCGTCGCTAAAAAAATGAATTTGCGTTCTTTCAAACTTAATGGCGTCTATTGGACCCGCTCAATATGCCAAATGCAGGCAATTTTTACTGGAGTTGAATTCGTAAGGATTTTATTCAAGTTTAAAAAGAGGAAGGAAAATTCGTCGTCACTTGTCCACGTCCTCCATAAAACGGCAAATTATAGGAAGTTTCACGTCGTAGTCGTGCAGTCGACGTCAAAGAAATTTACTCACGTGCAGAGTTGTTGTTTTGAAGTTGTCGTCATCGTTGTCGTATTTGCTTAAGCTCCTTTTCGATAAAGAAATTCTTTAAATGGATCGGAGTTTATTTTCCTTTGTAGTCAGAATCAAAATAACTCCTGTGCACAGGAAGTTGGTGAATTGAAAGAAGCAAACAGTGTTCGGCATTTCCTCACAGGTGTTCTCCTTTAGGGGAAAAATAAAGCCTGAACCAAGCGCAGATACACCCTTATATATATGGCCTGTACAGGGATGTACCGATATCCAGGGTATTGATTTTGACCTCTTTGTCCTAAACAGGGTATATAATTTCGTCTCGGTCTGCCAGCCTGCACGATTGATCAACTGACTTCGCCAGAAGAATTTTGTTTGTACTCCAAGTATACATGACTATTAAAGAACGTGAATTAGCTTCATTCCAATTGCCAAAACAAAGACGGCGCGCATTTTGTCTTTTGTCCTAACCAGGGCAATAAAAATGAGGGTGTTGTCCTAAAAAGGATACGTATTTTAGGAATTTTTTGTCCTAAGTAGGGTCAGGGTTTCAAACCCTCCGCGGGTCACCTATACCCAAATATTGGTTGAGTACTCCCCACGGGAAGGGGGGGGGGGATGGGCGTAGGGCTACTTACGAAACTGTCAAATGAAAAATGATCTGCGCAGTTCTGGAAAGAAGCCTGAGAAAAATTTAGGACTTCAACGAGATTTGAACCCGTGAGCTCGCGATACCGATGCGAAGCTCTAACCAACTAAGCTATGAAGCCATTGGGAGCTGGTCAATGGTGTGTTCATATGTTCCCGTAAAAAAAACTGTGTCACGAAATTCATCAGAAAGAATTACAAAGAACGGATGAATATCCCCGCACATACAAAAGAAAGCACCGATGGACGCACTCTGATTGGAATTGTGGCTTTTGAAAACTTGTTAGGCCTGACAGTATTTCAAAGTTCATTTTTGTCGTTTGTAACGTTTGATATAATGATATATTGCTTGAAGCTGTTGTTCTTGTTGTTGTCATATAAGCCCCCGAGGATGGTTTGCCTTACGAATCGAAGTATTGGGCAAATTTGTTTGAAAGAATTCAAGCGTTATGTATAATAATAGTAATTATTACAGACATAACTTTGTTTATTATTTCATCTTTTTGCCGCCGGGATTAAGTATAGTCTGTTATACTCGTACCTCGGACTTCCTATGTCCGTTGAAATTTAATTAGAAAAGCTACAGAAGCACGGTAATTCATTTCTTTGACACAATCCATTCCCATAACACTGCACAACCGCCCGGCCTGTAAGGTCTGTAACAGTTACATAATGACACCAACCTTCTTCGAACATTTGTATTTTCTCGATACATCATCTCAATACGTTCCTTGGCGGCGGTATTCGCAGACAGTCTTAATCTCCCCTACGAGGTCTCAAGCAAGTCTGACTGCAACGCAAAAAAATAATAATAATAATTGGCGACGTCTTTCTACGTGAACGCTTTAGGACGACAAAATGTCACACCAGCAAATGCCGAAACGCTCACCTTGACTTCCGACACCATAATATTTGACTCGAGCTATAAAGAAATAACGTCAACTTATAGCCCTTTGTCACGTGGCGACCATTTTGTCTCAAGAGATTTAAAAAGCTTTATTTATGCCCGGCTAGCCTCGTAGAGAGAACGAGGCAAGCCAGGCATAAACAAAGCTTTTTAAAATTATTTTAAGTACTTCCAGTAGAAGAAGATTTAGAACAACACCGATACACCTTAATACAACAACAGTTTATTAGCAACAACAACAACTTTATTGACTTTATCTTCGACATGAAGATTTCAGTACCAAACAGTAGAACCCAGTACTACAGTAGAACCCAGCTTAACAGACAAGTGGTTATTACGAACAGTTTGCTTAGTTCCTCTAAATTCAACCCTCTTAATATGGACACTTTCTGTGCCCCCCTCAACGTCAGTATTCAACAGGGTTTCACTGTACCTGACTTCTTTTGTCAGTGATGCGTCAAATTAGATCAGTGATAGGTCAAACACTCCACCCAAAATTGAAAAGAACAAAATGCAAGAGACTTAAGCTATTCCCACGGTACTTCGCATTTTATAAATTTGACCGGAATATCCAATAGAGAACCTTTTCAACGGTCTCTTCTAAATTTGTCGGGCAAAGTCCCTGAATCATGATCAAAGCCTTGTTTGATATGCATGATAAATGTTGAGTATGAGCTTTGGGAATTAAATAATGAGTTTAAATGTAGCCTTAATTAACTGTCGACAGACAGAGATTAGCTTTGAGGCTTGGTTCAGCACAATTAAGATACACGAAATTCAGTGAAATCCGCTTTAAGGATCTCAGAAGGCAAGCTGCACTGTACAATAATAATACATCGACACCATAACACCTCACAACGAAATCCTTTTGGTATCAAGAATTCCTCATGCGCTAGTTAGGGCATCTGCATTTCGTACTGGTTGAGTGGTAAGTTCATGTCAGGTCGTTAACTACGGATACATATGTATCATACTATAAAAAAAAACAAGAACAACTGCTAAAGCTACAACATTAATTATGAAAAATTAGATCATTTCGTAATATGAGTTGGTTCTTGCAACGCGTTTTAATCAGATGACAAAGGACCACTGATGACCATTTAAACTTGTACTTTTTCTACATTATTTCTCTTCTCCCATTCAATTGCCCCGTATCCTTTTTCTTCCTTCTATTGTGGTTAAGAAGCCTTGCCTTAAAATGGTAAAATAATAATAATAATAATAATAATTAATTGTCTTGCCCAATAGATCGTTCAAAGTAACTTCCCTATAAATCAAAGATAAATGTGCTGTTGTAGTGATTAATGATAGTTCTTTACTTTTGAGTTGGTTGGGCGATGAATAACGAAATAGTTTCATCTGAGTAGTTAAGAAAATAGTGACAGTGCATGACTTTTTCTAAGGCTTCAAAAGCCAGTAAAATAATAAAAAACGTAAGAACACTGTGATCATTATACAAAACGAAGACCAAATCGGGACAAACTTTTGTTACTCTAAGTGTTGCGGGGAAACAAGACGCCAGTAAACAACACTTTTTAAATTTTTTCTACCAATGTTTACTTTTAACTAAAATATATGACCACTATAGATACAACTTTGGTAATT